AGCTTACAGCGAGCTGTCAATCCAGTCACCGACGCCTCGGCCAGGCCATAAATCACAGTGGTGAAGCTGCAGCAGGCCACCCGGGCCTCCCCCAAAGCACGGTCCTGCCATCACTCTCTCCTGATGACTGCTAGGCATTCAGGCTTCTGCCGTGACCCGACCTCAGCCCCAAGCGTTCTTTGCGGCACAGAGTCCCTTCCCTAGGACAGAAGGGGTCAGCCAGGAGCACACTGCCTTGCAAGGTCCCCATGCCCTGCCAATATACTTTATGGATGCTGGCAGAAAACACTCCCATCACTCAAAAACCCACCCCTTTTAAGACGGGCTCCAGAAAGCAGAGCTCCATCCCGGTTGCTGATCCAGTGACTCGCGGTGGATTTAATACCGGAAGTGATGCCGCAGAGCCACCGCGGCCTCCGCCATATGGCAGCGACTCACCTGGTGCCCAGGCTGGGCTTGTGTTCTTTGCAATGTGAGGGGGCAAAGCCGATGTATAACGAAGCTCTACTGCCTAGACTCCTCTTGTCCTGCCCTCAGCGCTGGGACCTTTTGTCCACACCCTTTGTTCTGAGGTTTGATCGGCCTCAACTCTCACCACCCTAAAACATCCACCTAAAATGAATCAACTTAGCTGTGCCACATACACATGCCACATACACACATATGCACCACATACACCACACACAAACACCACAGCCACCACACACACATACCACACACAAACACCCATATGCACCACACACACCATACACACACATCACACATACCACACACAAACACCACAGCCACCACACACACAGCACACACAAACATCCACACAACACACACACACCACATACCATACACACACACACAACACCACATACCATGCACACAACACACACAGCACACATATCATACACACACACTACACACACATACACACACCACACCACACACCACACATTACACACACCACAAACACCCACGCAACACACAAACGTACCACATACCAGACACATACACACATGACACCACATACCATGCACACACCACAAACACATCACACAACACACATATAAAACACACACACACTATACACACATACACACACCACATACCACACATGCATCACACACACCACACACATTACACACCACAAACATAACACACACACCACAGACATACACACCACACACACCACACACATACCACACACGTGCATACTCATATACTACACATACACCACACATACCACATGTAGTACACACATATACACACCACTGACACACCACACCGCCCATACACACATACACCACACACATACACACACACACACACACAACTACTGAAGCCAGCAGAAATGAAAAGTCCTCCAGTGTCTCCCTTCAAACAGCTCACACTCATGCAGGTCACGGTGGCATGGTGCCCTCAGACGCATGTCCAGAGAGCACATGGGCTATCCCAGCATGGTCAAGACTGCCTCGATCACCCGGGACCCTCTGTGTGCATTAGTCTGGACTGAGTCACCCTTGGATAACTGAGGACTTGCCTGTCAAGGGATAAACATTTAGCACTTACACTCCTTTGAGTGGAATTACAGCATAAGTGTGTAGAGGGTAAGAGTGAAAGAATGCAGAGTGCAGAGCGCAGAGAGCAGAGTGCAGAGTGCAGAGAGCAGAGTGCAGAGTGCAGAGAGCAGAGTGTAGAGTGCAGAGAGCAGAGTGCAGAGTGCAGAGAGCAGAGTGCAGAGAACAGAGTGCACAGTGTAGAGTGCAGAGTATAGAGCGCAGAGAGCAGAATGCAGAGCACAGAGCGCAGAGTGTAGAGTGTAGAGTGCAGAGTGTAGAGTGCAGAGCGCAGAGTGTAGAGTGCAGAGTGTAGAGTGCAGAGCGCAGAGTGTAGAGTGCAGAGCGCAGAGTGTAGAGTGCAGAGCGCAACGTAGAGTGCAGAGAGCAGAGTGTAGAGCAGAGTTTAGAGTGCAGAGTGCAGAAAGCAGTGTGCAGAGCGCAGAGAGCAGAGCGTAGAGTGCAGAGTGCGGAGTGCAGAGTGTAAGAGTGCAGAGTGTAGACTGTAAGACTGTAGAGTGTAAGAACACAGAGTGCAGTGTAGAGAGCAGAGTGTAGAGTGCAGAGTGCAGAGAGCAGAGCACAGAGTGTAGATTGTAGAGTGCAGAGTGCGGAGTGCAAAGTGTAAGAGTGCAGAGTGTAGACTGTAAGACTGTAGAGTGTAAGAATGCAGAGTGCAGAGTGCAGTGCAGAGAGCAGAGTGTAGAGTGCAGAGTGTAGACTGTAAGACTGTAGAGTGTAAGAATGCAGAGTGCAGTGCAGAGAGCAGAGTGTAGAGTGCAGAGGGCGGAGTGTAGAGTGCAGTGTAGAGTGCAGAGTGCAGAGTGTAGATTGTAGAGTGCAGAGCGCAGAGCGCACAGTGTAGAGTGCGGAGTGCAGAGAGCACAGTGTAGAGTGCGGAGTGTAGAGTGCGGAGTGCAGAGAGCGGAGTGTAGAGTGCGGAGTGCAGAGAGCACAGTGTAGAGTGCGGAGTGTAGAGTGCGGAGTGCAGAGAGCGGAGTGTAGAGTGCGGAGTGCAGAGAGCACAGTGTAGAGTGCGGAGTGTAGAGTGCGGAGTGCAGAGAGCGGAGTGCAGAGAGCGGAGTGTAGAGTGCGGAGTGTAGAGTGCGGAGTGCAGAGAGCGGAGTGCAGAGAGCGGAGTGTAGAGTGCGGAGTGCAGAGAGCACAGTGTAGAGTGCGGAGTGCAGAGAGCGGAGTGTAGAGTGCGGAGTGCAGAGTGCGGAGTGCAGAGAGAGGAGTGTAGAGTGCGGAGTGCAGAGAGCGGAGTGCAGAGAGCGGAGTGCAGAGAGCGGAGTGCAGAGTGCGGAGTGCAGAGAGCGGAGTGTAGAGTGCGGAGTGTAGAGTGCGGAGTGCAGAGAGCGGAGTGTAGAGTGCGGAGTGTAGAGTGCGGAGTGCAGAGAGCGGAGTGTAGAGTGCGGAGTGCAGAGTGCGGAGTGCAGAGAGCGGAGTGCAGAGAGCGGAGTGTAGAGTGCGGAGTGTAGAGTGCGGAGTGCAGAGAGCGGAGTGTAGAGTGCGGAGTGCAGAGTGCGGAGTGCAGAGAGAGGAGTGTAGAGTGCGGAGTGCAGAGAGCGGAGTGCAGAGAGCGGAGTGTAGAGTGCGGAGTGCAGAGAGCGGAGTGTAGAGTGCGGAGTGTAGAGTGCAGAGTGCAGAGAGCGGAGTGCAGAGAGCGGAGTGTAGAGTGCGGAGTGCAGAGAGCGGAGTGCAGAGTGCGGAGTGTAGAGTGCGGAGTGTAGAGTGCGGAGTGCAGAGAGCGGAGTGCAGAGAGCGGAGTGTAGAGTGCGGAGTGTAGAGTACGGAGTGCAGAGAGCGGAGTGTAGAGTGCGGAGTGCAGAGTGCGGAGTGCAGAGAGAGGAGTGTAGAGTGCGGAGTGTAGAGTGCGGAGTGTAGAGTGCGGAGTGCAGAGAGCGGAGTGTAGAGTGCGGAGTGCAGAGAGCGGAGTGCAGAGAGCGGAGTGTAGAGTGCGGAGTGTAGAGAGCGGAGTGCAGAGAGCGGAGTGCAGAGTGCGGAGTGCAGAGAGCGGAGTGTAGAGTGTGGAGTGTAGAGTGCGGAGTGTAGAGTGCGGAGTGCAGAGAGCGGAGTGCAGAGAGCGGAGTGTAGAGTGCGGAGTGCAGAGTGCGGAGTGCAGAGCGCACAGTGTAGAATGCGGAGTGCAGAGAGCGGAGTGTAGAGTGCGGAGTGTAGAGTGCAGTGCAGAGTGCAGAGAGCGGAGTGTAGAGTGCGGAGTGTAGAGTGCAGTGCAGAGTGCAGAGAGCAGAGTGTAGAGTGCAGAGTGCACAGTGTAGAGTGTAGAGTGTGGAGTGCAGAGAGCAGAGTGTAGAGTGCAGAGTGCACAGTGTAGAGTGTGGAGTGCAGAGAGCAGAGTGTAGAGTGCAGAGCGCAGAGCGCAAAGCGCACAGTGTAGAGCGCAGAGTGTAGAGTGCAGAGCGCAGAGCACACAGTGTAGAGTGCAGACTGCAGAGCTCAGAGTGCACAGTGTAGAGTGTGGAGTTCAGAGAGTGGAGTGTAGAGTACGGAGTGTAGAGTGCAGTGCGGAGTGTAGAGTGCAGAGCGCACAGTGTAGAGCGCACAGTGTAGAGCGCACAGTGTAGAGTGCAGAGTGTAAGAGTGAAGAGTGCAGAGTGCAAAGTGTAGAGTGCACAGTGCAGAGTGTAGAGTGCAGAGCGCAGAGCAGAGCGCACAGTGTAGAGTGCAGAGGGCAGAGTGCAGTGTAAGAGTGCACAGTACAGAGTGTAGAGTGCAGAGGGCAGAGTGCAGAGTGTAAGAGTGCACCGTGCAGAGGGCAGAGTGCAGAGGGCAGAGTGCAGAGTGTAAGAGTGCACAGTGCAGAGTATAGAGTGCAGAGAGCAGAGCAGAATGTAAACGTAGCGTGTACAGTGTATAGTCCAGAGTGTACAGTGTACTGAGTGTAGTGTAGCATGTACAGTGTACAGTGTAGAGTGTCATGTGTAGCGTGTAGAGTGTACAGTGTATAGTGTATAGAGAGTAGAGTGTAGCATGTACAGTGTAGAGTGTATGAGTTGCCTGCTGCTTTCAACCGAGGGCACAGCCCCACCCCAGTCTCCCACCTCGAGGCTCACTCTGAGCTGTCTCTGCCCTGGTGCGCTCCCCGACGCCCCTTTGCCTGAGCGCAGAGGTGTGGGGAGTGGAAGTGGCGGTGGGAACAGGTGGAGGCACCTGCGCCTCCTGTACTCCAGAAAGGCCGCCCTGGAGACCTTCTGGCCACTTCCCAGGATGAGCCCTCGGCAGCCCCCACAGCCTGCTGTTTCTCTGCTGGTTCTCCCCCTTTCCCACCTCCAAGTCCTGCTTCCTGGGATGATCATCACCCAATTAAACGACATCCCAGTCCTTGCACCAGGCTCTGCTTCAGGGGAACGCAAACCGAGACAGTGTTATTATATCCAATGTTGCCTTTTCCAAGGTAGCTGAAGTCATCATTATTTCCCTCACTCTTACCTGTGCCGGAGTAGGCTGCTGCCCTCTGAAGCTACAAGGCACCCTCCATGAAACGGCCCAGCTGTTCTTTGGGAGTTCGTGTCGGATTTTGCCGTTTTTCTATCACTTTCTTTGTTGTTAGCAAGTCTTCTGCCAGCAGGACGGCTACCTTCCTTCCAGTTGATGGCGTTTGTCTTCCATCTGCTACAGCCTGGAAATCTCGGTGCCAGACTTGACAGCCTGTGTCTATCATGAAGGTGAACAGATTCTGAAAGGAGGAATGTTCTTTGGAGCAAATACATGAGCTTTCATTTCAGGCTCTGGAAATTCATTTTGGCTGCTTCAAAGGCATATTTATTTCCCTGGTTTAGGGTGCTATTTTGGAAAGAGTAGGGGTAGGATAGTGAAATGTATTGAGTTCATTCTTATATTTTAATTTAGATGTGGGAGGTGCTAGTGGGTGAATGCAGTGGGTTTAATAATACCAGAAAAGCCCGAGGGCTGTGACTTCCCTTTTATTAGCATATGCCGATTTCCAACTTTTAGATGCAGTTTTTAAGACTCCCGGAGACTTCACAAGTGTGCCAGCTGCACAGATGTGAAAACAATATCACACACCAAAAAATGGCAGCTTACATATCTCAGAGCAAAAATAAAATCAGTCCAAGCATTGAATACAAATCCTCCCCCACTCAGTCCCCATGTCTCACCCAGATGTCCCCTCTCCTCTCTGGAGAAGTTATATGTCCCCTCCTGTGGGCAGGAGGAGGTACGTGTCCATTTCGTCTACGGGAGGACTCGGTGAGGTTACTTGTGTAGGAAGAACTCTGTTCTGGGGCTGCCTTTCCCCTGCCACTTCCTTGATCTCTGGGGCTCACGGACCGGCCTCTGGTGCCTGGCTGATGGGCACAGCTGGTGAAGACCACAGAGCAGCTGAGTGTGGGAGCAGGTGCAAGAGCAAACCCAGCAGGTGGGTTGACCGTAATGACAGGGTCAGTGACGCCGTCTCCCAGGTGTTTTCTGGCTGCTGATAACTGGGGTAGGTGAAAGAACACGGGAATTTGTTGTTGGAAAGGTTACACAGGAAGGAGGGAGAAAGGCTATGGCTGTGGGCACCTCCCCAGGACATGCAGTGAATGGGCGTTTCTTTCTTGGGTGGGCTCAGTGTGCCCAGTGGCTGTGGGCTCCCTGTTGGAGAGGAACTCGAAGTCCAGGTAAAGGGAGGTTTACAGGCTCTCCTCAACCTATGATGGGGTTCCGTCCTGAACAACTCATTGTTAGTCCAAAACGTAAGTCAAAAATGCATTTAATACACCAATAAATCTATCATAAAGTCTGAAAATTGTAAGTTGAACCCTCAAGCGGGTGACCGTCTGTATTTCACTGGAACTGTGGCAAGAAGACCCCAGAGACTGGCATTCTGGACATGGCTGCAGGTGAGAGGAGGGCTGCAGCCTGAGGGTCATGGTGGCATGAAAGGACCTGGGGATGTGAAATGCTGTCATTGAGGGCTGGAGCGCATACAGGAGGTTGATGAGGTGTGGCTGCAGGCTGAGTACTGTTGGCTGTGGAGAGGTGGGGGTTGAGAGCGTGGTCACAGGGCTCAGTGGTTACAAGGACACTTGATGCTACTGAGGGTGGCAAAGCCTCAGCAGGGCTGGCTATAAGCAAAGCAGGGCCCTGCAGTCACTTTCAGCTGTTGCACGGAGTGGCAGTGAGATGATGACAACTTCACCTATGTGGGAATCCTCGGAGGCCACCTGAGAAAGAATCACATGGATAAGAACTTGGATGGGGATGCAGAAGGCCCTGGAAAAGCTTACCACCTCGGTGACTCTAGGGAGAGCCTCCAAAAAAGTCTGCAAAAGAAGAAAATTCATCTCCTTTAAAGAGGCGATGTAATTGACCTTTGCACTGAAGTATGTGAGTTTCCCAAATCCGTGATTGTCCGAGGAAGAACTGAAATCCAGGTATGAAAACTACTCAGCTTCTTGGTTGAGGGGTGTCTGGCAGAAGGTTGGAGCTGTTCCAACTGGGCCCTGCTCCGGGAAGAGCAGCCTTGCAGAACTGGCCTCAACATGGCCCAGCTCATGTGAACTGGGTTTCCCCTGAGTGCCATTGACTGGCCCAAAGAAGACATCAGAGGGAAGCTTCCCAGGGAGACTGCTTTCCAATGCATCATTTCCAATCCAAGGCACTTCTGGGAAAAAACTCCCATTGTCCTGAACACTCAGTTCATCCAGGTATGCTAGGTCGTCCAGAATCCTGAGGGGTGGGTCCAGTTCTGCTCTCTTTCTGCCAAGTACACCAGGATCAGCCAGCACCCTTGGGAAAGAAATGTCAGTATTTGTAGTAAGTAGAAAATTTCTTCTTCAAAGTTTCCTAAGTGTTAGAAATAATAGTTTGCCTTAAAGACTTTCTTCAAAGCCTGCTTGCTTTTTGCTAATAACTCTTTGTTAAGCCCTATCCTATGTAGCTGTTAAACACGCTTATAGGCACGTAGTACATTCTGTGTCCTTGTACTTTAAACAAGATGTCTGTGCTGGACGTGCTCACAGGCCTGTCCCAGCTCGCAGTCTATGCCTCTTCCTTATTTGGACTTCCTTTTTGTTCTCCATTGCTTTTACCTGTTTAGAAACGTTTTAAGTTATTTGCCAATCAGGTTTCAGTTAAATTGTGAGGGTCTGGCGCCGACCAACGGAGATCAGACACAGCAGTAAGGACAACGCCAAATGCATAAAGGATAAATATGTCTGCTTTTCCTTCGTTTGTTGTACTCTCATGACAAGACAGCTGGCAAAGGTGCCCTTCCCACGGGAAGTAAAAATTGCCTTGCTAAGAAATCCTTTGTCTCAGTGCTGATTTCTCTTTGCACTGAGCGTGTTTCCAAAAGTATTGCTTAGGAAGTTTCCCCAACTCTCAAAGTTATCAAGCAGTCTCTTCTTTTGATTCGCCTGTCATTCTAAAGACTGGATTTTCATTTCTGCAGGAGGAAAGGTGGTGTGTGAGCACTTTGGTGGCCCGTCTCATAAAGTGAGATCTCCAGAGACCCCTGAGCACATCAGGCCTTCCAGATTAGTGGTACATCTGCTTCAGAGGGCTCAGGCACTTTTCCAGTCTTGCAGGAGTATTAACGCTCCCCATCCAATAACAGGAATGTCCATCACCAGCAAATATCTCTCTGAAGGCTGACTCCATAGTCTCTGGAATTTCCATGACAGCAACATGGTGAAGAAGGCTGTTGCTGAAATAATCCATTCGACAGGATTGAAATCAAAGGACATGAGCAGGCCAGGCACAGAGTTCTATGAAAAATATCAAAAGATCCCTGGATTCAGTGACGGATGAAAACCACCAGGAAAAAGGTCTCCCAGCTATGATGGGACTCAGCCCTGGAGCCCCAGCCCTGCAAAAAGGTATCTCCTTCAAGATGACCCGCAATCCCTGCTTCTATGGCACAGAGATTGTGGAAGAAGACTCTGCCTTGTGTGAGAAACTACTTTTGAGAAGTCACTCCTGGCGATGTTCAGACCAGGGACGGGAGGACTCCCTGAGGAGGATGAAGACTGCTTCCTTTTCTGAAGGGCTGTTTGGGGACAGGGGTGTCCACTTGCCCAGGGCCAGTGGGAATGTTCCAGGGAAGCTGCCCAGGGAAGTTTGGGCTGCAGAGAGAGGGAATGAGTTCACCATCACTGGGAATAGCCAGTGGGCAAGGAGATTACAGAGAAGGTTCTTGAGGAGCCAGGCTAGACAGCTGCCATCTGCACTGAGTGGTGGCCAAGGGGTTCTGCTGCCCACAGAGGACTGAGAGTTTGGGCTCTGGCCGCTCCCCACCCTGGGAAGGTGCCCACCATCCTCCAGGCCAAGTGAAGGGGTGGATGCCTGCCGGAGAGGCAGCACACCTCAGAAGGCTGAGCGGGAGGTGGGCATCCACATGTCCAGCAAGGCTTTCAGGCCCTGGTTACCCAGTGAAGACTCTGAGGCCTGATGAGAGGCACAGATCAAAAGTGAGGCAGAGCAGATGCCACAAATCATCTCCTAACTGTGATGGCCAGTTTTAGCTGTCAACCAGAGTGAGCCACAGGGTCCCCTGATGGCATACTGTTCCCAGGTGTGTCTCTGAGGGCGTTTCTTGATGACACTTGCATTTGGAATGGTGGACTCAACACAGCAGACCCCTCCCCAGTGAGGGCGGGCACCATCCAATCCATTGAGAGCCTGCGTGGACAAAAAGGCAGAAAAAGGAGGAAGTCCCCTGCATCTTCTTGCCTTACTGCTGGAGCAGAGACTTCTCCTCTCATCTCCTGCCTTTGCACTGGGATTTACATAATCAGTTCCCCTGGTTCTCAGGCCTTGGGACTTGGACTGAGTTACATCAGCAGCTTCCCTGGGTCTCCAGTTTGCAGGACCTGAGAACTCTCAGCCTCTGCAATTGCATGAGCCAATTCCCATCTATCTATCTATCTATCTATCTATCTATCTATCTATCTATCTACCTACCTACCTACCTACCTACCTATCTACCTATCATCTCTTGTTGGTTCTTTTTCTTTGGAGAACAGACTAATACACTAATCTGTCTTTTCCCTCCAAGTGCAATTCCCTTTACAAAGCGTCTCTGCTAAACTGAAGTGAGAGGATCTCTCACACTACGGTGAGAAGTGGGCCTCTGACCCATAGCCTCCACCCAGGAAGAAACCGGGGCCGGGAAACACACCAGGCCGCCCTTAAGGAAGACAATGTGGTTTTGCTCCTTCTGTTACTGTCTGGATTGTTTTTGTTTTTGTTTTTTGTTTTGGGGTTTTGTTTGTTTGTTTGTTTGTTTGTTTGTTTGTTTGTTTGTTTTTGAGACGGAGTCTCCTTCTTTCGCCCAGGCTGGAGTGCAGTGTCACAATCGCGGCTCACTGCAGCCTCCCCTCCCGGGTTCAAGTGATTCTCCTGCCACAGCCGCCTGAGTAGCTGGGATTACAGGCGGGTGCCACCTTGCCTGGCTAATTTTTATATTTTTAGTAGAGATAGGGTTTCACCATGTTAGTCAGGCTGGTCTCGAATTCCTGACCTCATGATCTGCCTGCCTCGGCCTCCCAAAGTGCTGGAATTACAGGCGTGAGCCGCCGCGACCCGCCTGCTCCTTCAGTTACTCTCAGCACCGAATCCCACCCCCACAGACCTAATGATTTCCTGGCAAATCGTTTGAAACACCTGCTTTAATCTGCTGAAGTCAAACTTCACGGATAATATCATCAAACCTCTCAGAGAATTTAAAAATAAAACGTTCTATCTGTCATATAAATTAGAAGTAAAAGGTAACTTATAATAAAAGAATTCATCTCCATGTGGAATGTCTAGCCAAGACCTCACTAACCGACTGGAAGTCACTTTCACCACTTACAATGAGTGAAGGATGAATGTTTGCCCCTGTTTGACATCCTGAAATCAAGGCTAAGCATCGCCAAGGGGAAAAGACTCCCAAAGTGCTGAACAACTCTTGATAAACTCCCAAAGAAAACAAAACACAGTCTTCCCAGGGTGCCGGTTGCCAGTGCGGTCCTGAACCGTGCGTCCACGTGGCTGCATATCGCAGCAGGAGGCCCGCCGCCGAGATCCTTGCGGAGGCGTCTGGAGGTCGCAGGGGACACTTGGAAGTCGTGGAGGGCGCGGGACGAGTCACTGTGCAGGACCACGGTCGCGGGAAGACAATCTGGGGCGCCCCAACGCTTCGCAGCCCCATCGGGTGGCTGGGGGACTCGGACTCCGCCCCGTCGCTCGTCGGCGCGTGCGCGCCGAACGGACCCGGCGCTTTCACAGGCGTACAAGACACCGAAGCCGCGGCGGCTCTGCACACACGCACGCCGGCAAGTATCCCCCAGGTCACCGAGTCAGTATGCCCGTGTCCCTTTTGGGGAACCCGGTTCTGACTTCCCCGGAATAAAGGGCGGCGCGCGCGCGCGCGCGGACGGAGCTGGGCAAACCCCTCGCCTGGCAAGTCGGCCCGGGGCGCGTTTTCCGTGCGGCCACAAGAGGGCGCTCCGAGACCAGACTGGGGACACCTGCGGGCGCCGACTTCGCATGCTTGCAGATGCGCGCGTGTTGGAAGCAGGCTGGGAGTGCCAGAAAGCATTCATGTTTGGACTTGCACGGTGCTGGACTGTCTGATCTTTGACGGCACCGTCCAGTTCTCAAATATCCACTGTCAGTACTGAACGATTGTGTCAATCGCATTTCCAATCCTCCCAGACAATACAATGTTGACATATAAACAGCAGTGTTAACGTTCTTCCGGAAACTGATCAACGGGAACGGGTAAAACAATTGGCCAGTACTTGCCCACCCCATCCTCACCCACACCCACAGTTCTCTCTAGAATAATACTAACAAAAATAACAATGCAAGATAACGATTTTGGAGAACGTACCATGTGTCGTTGTTTTGAGTACTTTATACGGATGCTCTAGTTTTAGCTTCACCAGTAACAAACTCTATGAGGTGGGTACCGTGTGATAAACAGTATGGTGAGGACGCTGAGCCACAGAGAGCTTAGTAACTTGCCCAGCGTTGCATGGCTGGCAAGTAGCAGAACATAGAGAAGGTACAGCATTCAAAGCTTCCAGGAAGGAAGCCCCTCCTGCTGGAAGGAGCTTAACCATCCTTTACTGTAAGAAAGCAAGGCAGAGTGCACCCCTTCAAAAATGCTGCTGTTTCTTCAAAACTGCAAGATTCATGAGAGCACTAATGCTGATAATATTAAAAACATCGACAAGAAAGAAAAAATTATGAATTTTTTCTTTTTAGAGACGGAGTCTTGCACTGTCTCCCAGGCTAGAGTGCAACGGCACAATCTTGGCTCACTGCAACCTCCACCTCCCCGGTTCAAGCGATTCTCCTGCCTTACCCTCCTGAGTAGCTGGAATCACAGGCACACGCCACCATACCCGGCTAATTTTTTGTATTTTTAGTTGAGACAGGCTTTCACTATATTGGCCAGATTGGTCTCTAACTCCTGACCTCGTGATCTGCCTGCCTCAGTCTCCCAAAGTGCTGGGATTACAGGTGTGAGCCACCTCACCGGGTCACGAAATATTTTTATACATGATGTTTGTCGCTTGTTTCATTCATGAAATCATCCAGAGCAGACACCAGGTGGGTCTGAGGAGGCTAGCATTGCCCACTGCAGATTACACTGTGCGACCTAGCCCCGGACGGCGCCTGAGACAAAATCCCGCCCAAAATACTCAACCCTGCCATGCGCTGGAATCGCTGGGGGAGTTTTGAACAAGATGATATCTGGGTCACCCCAGTGTTAGGGAGGCAGGAGCCTAGAAGAGACAGAGTAAGATAATGTTAAAATCAGCTCCACCTTAAAACTAGCGGAGCACATTCCTTGCCAATATCCCACGGTCCTACGATGTTCTCAGCTAAGGAAGCAGCTCAGTATTGGCCTGCAAGGAAAACTTCTGCCGCCGCAAAAGCCCAGGTGTCCCAGGACCCATGAGGACTAACTCTGACCTTTCATCTTGCCCAGATTCCTACCTAAGGGGTTGAGAGAGTCATGCCCTACAAACCATACATTCTCTTTGGATGGGTTTTATCTGACCTATATATCATGGGTTGAGAGAGTCATGCCCTACAAACCATAAATTCTCTTTGGATGGGTTTTATCGTGACTTGTTTTTTAGTCTGATGCTGGCATAACATTAAGAGACAGGGAAAAACTATTTAACCCCAAATTATATTTCGTTGCCATGCCTGTTGTGAGGAAAACCCACATCCTATCGAGGGTCTCCTCACCCCTTTGTTTTCCTTCCTTTCTTTCCAGATCCAGGAGATAATCAAATAAGAGCCGGGCACCCTTTTAGGTCTGATAAGAAACATTTTACAAGCTGCTCTCTCTCTCTCTCTGAAGTCTGCTATGTGAGAGCTTCCTCTGCACAGTAAAACCTGGTCTCCACAATCCTTTATCTTAACCCGAACATTCCTTTTCCTTGATCCCAGGTCTTCAGACAAACTCAACCAATTGTCAACTGGAAAATGTTTAAATTTACCTATAGCCTGGAAGTCCCCCTTTGAATGGTCCCACCTTTCTGAACCAAGCCAATGTATTTCTCAAATGTATTTGATTGATGCCTCGCGGCTCCCTAAATAAAACCAAGCTGCATCCCGGCCACCTTGGGCACATGTTCTCAGGACCTCCTGAGGGCTGGGTCACCGGCCGTGGTCACTCATATGTGGCTCAGAATAAATCTCTTCAAATATTTTACAGAGTTTGATTCTTTTTGTCGACACCCATAGCAATATATGCTTTCAGGAAAATTATTGTTATGTTTGATGTACTTACATACTAAATGAACGGCAAGGATACTTTTCTTTATTTATTTTTTTTGAGGCAGAGTCTCACTCTGTCACCCAGGCAATGGTGTGATCTTGGCTCACGGCAACCTCCGCCTCCCAGGTTCAAGGGATTCTCCTGCCTCAGCCTCCCAAGTAGCTGGGATTACAGGCACATGCCACCACGTCCAGCTAATTTTTTTGTATTTTTTTATTAGAGATGGGGTTTTGCTGTGTTAGCCAGGATGGTTTCGATCTCCTGACCTCGTGATCCACCCGCCTCGGCCTTGCAAGGGGTAGTTTTCTTTTTTTCTTTTTTCTCAGTTTCATAGGATTCCAGGAATAGTTTTCTTTAACCAACAAAATAATGAATTTTGTCAAGCTGTCAGCCCATCCACATGTAGTCACAACTGAGTTTTAGACTTTCATAGAGAAGGCCCCTATATAAGAAAAGCTAAAAACAAAGATGGTGCATTCCTCCACTTGCCTTGTGAGGATGCCCTGCCCTTTAAGGGAGTAGCTTTCAATAAAATATCTCTTCTCACTGCACTCAGCGACCGACCTTGAATTCCTTCCTGCGTGAAATCCAAGAACCCTCTTTCGGGGGCTGGATCAAGACTGTTTCTGATCACACCACCACCACCTGCTAATTGAATCAGAATCTCAAAAAATGGGTCCCAGGCACCAGCGTTTTTGTAACGGTTTTGAAAACCCTCCCCAGGTGACTGAAAGGTTCAACCAACGTTGAGAGCCAACCTCCCTGCTATATAGAGGAGGAAACCGAGGCTCAGAAAGGAGCTGTAATTTACCAAAGGCTGAAGAATGCCAAGAAAACAGGTGGGGGGGCAGCACATGTGGATTTCCAATTCGGAACCCATGGGAAACTTTCCTGCGGGGCCAGACGAGACACATCAGCAGGAGACAGGGCATGAGGCACCTGGGAAGCAGGCCACACTGCCCGCTGCCCCTTCACCGGCCTCGCCGCAGCCTGTGCTGGCTGTTGGCCATGCTCTTTCCCCAACACCATTTGGCACATAGGTTATGATGTCGTAATTTAATGCAGTGTTATGTTTTGAGGGAGAAATTTAATTGAGAGAAATGTCTGCTTGATTATCTTACCCCTTTATCGCTGCCAGGGGACAGAATGTGTCTGTGGCTCGTGGCCAGGCATTCAGGCGATGGGGATTTCCGAGGCTCCTGCTATGTGCTAAGATGTGGGTCACTTTCCCAGAAAAGGTTGTCACATCCAGGTGGAAGCCAGCAGCCCAAGGCCAAGATCCCCAGCCTTGGAAGGGTCCAGGCAAAGTTATTCTTAGGCCAAATGAATTTGGGAGTCTGTTGCTTTGGTGAATGTGCTGATCCACCTTCCATCACCTTAGAATGTCCTTGATTTGGGCCAGGCGCAGTGGCTAACACCTGTAATCCCAGCACTTTGGGAGGCTAAGGCAGGTGGATCACGAGGTCAAGAGATCGAGACCATCCTGGTCAACTTGGTGAAACCCCGTCTCTACTAAAAATACAAAAACTTAGTTGGGCATGGTGGCGCGTGCCTGTAATCCCAGCTACTCGGGAGGCTGAGGCAGGAGAATTGCCTGAACCCAGGAGGCGGAGGTTGCGGTGAGCCAAGATCGCGCCATTGCACTCCAGCCTGGGTAACAAGAGCGAAACTCCGTCTCAAAAAAAAAAAGAATGTTATTGATTTGAGCCTCAGGAAGCCTTTAAAAAAAAAAAAAAAAGTCCCACAAGCCAAGCTCAGTGGTGTATGCCTATAGTCCCAGCGACTCAGGAGGCTGGGGTGGGAGGATCACTAGAAGCCAGGAGTTCAAGGCCAGCCTGGCCAACATCATGAGACCCCTGTCTCTAAGAAATAAAGGCCAGGTGAGGGTGCCTCATGCCTGTAATCCCAACACTTTGGGAGGCCAAGGTGGGTGAATCACAAGGTCAGGAGTTCAAGACCAGCTGTCCAACATGATGAAACTATTCTTGTACTAAAACCACAAGAATTAGCCAGGTATGGTGGCAGGCGCCTGTAATCCCAGCTACTCAGGAGGCTGAGGCAGGAGAATCGCTTGAACCTGGGAGCTGGAGGTTGCAGTGAGCCGAGATTGTACCATTGCACTCCAGCCTGGGCAACAGAGCAAGACTTTGTCTCGAAAAGAAAGAAAGAAAGAAAATGCCCCATGGGAAATGAGGAAGACAGTGTGCTTCCTAGTCTAATGCAGGCACGTCTCACCTTTCTTTCCCCAAACCTGCCCCTGCCCCTGCTTCCTGGCCTCACTGTCCCCCAGCCACCCAGAAGAAAAACCTGAGACTCAACCCAGGTGCCCCACCCCACATCTCCCAACCCCACCCCCTCAACTCCCACACCAAACCCTTCCTTAGGCCTGCCAGCTCGCTCTGAGGGGGCTGTGCCAGGGGCACCTGGAGGTTCCCCGATGCCCACACCCTGGCCCACACTTGGCAAAATCCCTTTGTCATTTTTGCAGGCCTGTTGGTGTAGAACAATATCTATGGCATTTTCACTTGCATTTCTGTAATTCACACTTAGGTCTTTCAGTTCCTCTGCATATGTCTGTGCTGTTGCGTTGCTGAAGCTTTTTCATTCTCTTTCCTTGGCATCCCTTGCCCTCCAGGCTATCATCTCAAACCAGGCCACAGCCCTCACTGTTCCCTGCCTTGCTCTCCCAGGATTTCACTGGGCCAGCCGCCTGAAGCACAGGCGAGAGCGTGTCCCTCCTCTGCCCCTCCTTCAATAATGGCCTAGGGCCTCCTTCATAAGCATGCACATTCCACAGTCTGCCCAGGGCTCTGCAGAATCAGCTCCACCTGGGCTTCCAGCCTGACCTCTTCCTCCTCATACCCGCTCCACAGCCCTGACCCCTCCTCCTTGCTTGGCCCATCCCTTAGCTCAGGCTTTTCTTGCTCTACAAGTTCCCTTCTCTACCTGGAGCCTGCCTTAAGGCCCAAGATCCAATGTAGCCTTTCACACAGCAGGTGCATTCCGCAGCTTCGCCCCCTCTCAACTCCCCAGCACTGGCCTGCCCTGACCTCTTTCTGCCTTGTGTTTTCATCCCATGTGGCCGATCTCTCCCAGAGGCCAGGAACTCCTGGGAGCCTACTGTACATCCGGTTCCCCTCTCCCGCCCTGCCCAATCCTTTCTTCCAGGCCAGCCCACAATACAGCTGGAACCCAGGTAGAGGGCTATGCAGTGGGTCAGCCTGGGATATAGAGCATCTGGGAACAGGAGGGGAGAAGTGGCTAAAGGGAGGCAGAGGCTGAAAGCCTGAGCGTTGGCAGACTCCTCGGCCCTGAGGACTGATGGGGAGGAACGAGTAGAGAAGACGCCCAGCTCCTGGGCTGGTCAATGCGGGGGTGGGGGAGTTGGGAACAGAACCTGGTTAGATTTGTCTGTGGCCAACAGGAGAACTCGGGTCTCTGAGCAGGGGCTATCAGCCTGGGGCTGAAAAGAGCTGAGTCTAAGAGGAGAGCTGGGCTCATTGTGGTAGAAGAGGCATCCACACAGGGGCGCATGCCACGCTGCCCAGGACGTGGGAGGACAACGAACCCTGAGATGAAGCTGTAGGAGGCAGCCCAGGAGGGTTGCAGAGGTGGCCGAGCTGGGTAAGAGGGCAGTGTCTTCAAAACCAAGCAAGAGCACGGGCGCAGTGGCTCACGCCTATAATTCCAGCCCTTTGGGAGGCCAAAGCGGGTGAATCACCTGAGGTCAGGAGTTAGAGACCAGCCTGGCCAACAAGGTGAAACCCTGTCTCTACTAAAAACATAAAAATTAGCCTGGCGTGGTGGCATGTGCCTGTTATCTCAGCTACTTGGGAGGCTGAGGCAGGAGAACTGTTTGAGCCTGGGAGGCTGAGCTTGCAGTGAGCTGAGATCACGCCATTGCACTCCAGCCTGAGCGACAAGAGCGAAACACCACCTAAAAAAAAAACAAAACCAAGGGAAAACGACTGCAGTGAGTGAGCAGCTTGTACTCAGATGCTGCGAGCAGGAGGCTGCCGCCCGGCCCAGCTGCTGCCACTACACCTCAAACCTTCTCTTTAGGAGCAGCCAGCGTGTGCAGTGAGCAGACAAAGCCATCTCCCCTCTGGCGGCTCTGTCACGAAGCCCAGCGTCTGGGGTTTCCCTTCCCGAGGCTTCGTTTCATCTCAGTTTCTCCTGAGCGAAGCGTGGAGGTGGGTGCTGAGCACAGGGCCTCCACACACCCGTCACAGCCCTGCCCCTATGCTTTCGGGTCACCTCTGCTTCTACCTTTTCTTCTCTATACCAGTTTACAACGCAATTCCAGGGAGATAAAGTGAAACAGACGCTGGGCAGTGAAAGGCAGTGACCCCCACTTCGCATCACTGGGATGCAGTGAACGGGCCTCAGGGTGTAGACCAGAGCGGATGGGTGTTAAATAATGGGGAAGCGTCAGGGCTGAGCATATTTTATTCTCCAGTCTGTGGTGCAGCTTTCCAGGGTGCTTTAAAGATGAAGATGGGCTTGTTAGCCTCACACTCTGGGCAAAGCCATGCAGGAAGAGGTGGAGGAGGAGGAGACCGTGGCTAGTGGAGCAGACCAGACTCCACTCCCTCCCCTCAGGGATGTAACCCTGTGCCTTGCACTTGAGAAGCCAAGACTTCAGAGACTCAGCTGCTCTCTGCCCCACCCGCCGCCTGGTCAGGCCCCAGAGGCCACCTGCCCCAGCTCCTGTATGCCCTGCTCCTAGGGCCCCACTGCCCGAGCCTCAATAGACACCGTGACCCGCAGAGAGCCGCAGCTCGACCTCAGGTCCCACTCCCGACTAGCATTGTACGGCAGTCCTGGGGATCCCTGCTGAGGAGACAGCTGGACGTTCAGCCAGCGACACCAGGCCTGGTCACAGGCGAGCACCACGGTGCCCTCGGGGTTGCTGTAGGTGCACTGGCTGCGGGCTGCCCTTTCCTGCACAGCCAGGTCCCAGCTGCCCCCTGCCTTTCTGTCGTCCAGCCAGGTGACCTGGAAACCCAAGTGGTCTCGGGTGACGGGACACACCAGCTGCTCCTCGTTCAAGGCGGGCACCACCTGGCCTCTGAGGTAGGCAGGGCCGGCGCAGTAGGCCTGGATGTTCAGAAGCTGATCGGTAAACTGCTGCAGCCAGTTGAAGAGGTAGGCCAGGTGGCAGTCACACTGCCAGGGGTTGCCGTGCAGGGCCAGGTTGAACAGGTTGTAGTTGGCATCGAAGATGCCCTCCGGAAGCGTGCTCAGCTGGTTCTTGGACAGGCTGAGCAGCTCCAGCTTGGACAGGTTCTGGAAGACGGCTGGGTGCAGGGCCGTCAGGTTGTTGCTGCCCAGGTAGAGCTTGACCAGCTCCTGAAGGTCCCTGAAGATGCCAGCTGGGAGGTGGGCAATGGCGTTGTGTGAGAGCATGAGGGAACTCAGGTTGGACAGGTGGGCAAAGGCACCCTCAGCGACAGTCTCCAGCTGGTTATGGGACAGAGACAGGCCGACCAGGCGAGGGGTGTGGGCGAAGAGGCCGGCAGGCAGGACTCGAAGCATGTTCCCCTGCAGGCTCAGAAAGGCCAGATTGCCCAGGGAAGAGAAGATAGGGAGTGGCAGGTGCGTGATGGTGTTATGCTGCAGCCACAGCTTCTCCAGGCGGAAGAGCTGAGAGAACACCTCTAGGGGCAGCTCTGAGATCTTGTTGCCGTCCAGGAAAAGCTCCTGCAGGCTGCCCAGTTTGCCAAACACGCCCTGGGGGAGGCCAGAGAGTGCGTTGTTGCTCAGCTTCAGGCTCTGCAGGCTGGTGAGTGGGTGGAACAGCTCCTCGGGGAGCTGGGCCAGGCGGTTCTGGGCCAGGTTGAGCGTCTTCAGACGGGTCAGAGGCTGGAAGAGCCTCCTGGGCAGCGCCTGGAGCCAGTTCCCCTGCAGGTGGAGGGACTCCAGGGCAAGCATGTGCTGGAAGAGACCCTCGGGCAGAGCCTCCAGCATGTTGAAGTTGAGGGTGAACTTGCGCAGCGAGGTCAGGTTGGAGAAGATGTTGGCGCTGAGGTTGGAGAAGCTGCTGCCTGTGATCTCCAGGTCCTCCAGCTTGGGCAGCCCCCCAAAGGCATCTGGCCAAAAGTGGCGGAGCTGAGTGTTGAGGAAGACCACCTTGGACAGGTTGGGGTTGCTACCAAAGGCTCTGGTTTCCACCGTGGTGAACAAGGTCTCCACAAACACGATGTCTGTGGCGTGTGGCGGGATGTCCAGTGGGATGGTGGCCAGGTCGTCTGAGCAGAACACCTCCTGGACGAAACAGTCACAACCCATGGGGCAGAGCTGGGCGGGCCTGGCCAGGAGCAGAAGGGAGGCCCAGTGCAGCCAGACTCCTGGGAGCATCTTTTGGACTCAAGGAGGGAAAGAAAACACGAAGGAAAACTTTGTCATCACACAGCGCAGTGAGCAGAGCACTGGACAGCGAGCTCGAACATGTGGTGCAACCAAGACCCAGGGCTTTGGGGCTTTCTGTGTTCTTTCCAGATCGGGGACAGACGTGGAAAGGAGACAAAATGGCACAGAAGAGAGGTAGAAAAGGAGAGCACGGGCACTGCGGAATTTTTAAAGATAATATACAGCATATGGACAGATTATTCCTGAGTTGGAAGTTCCTAAACCATAACTCTTCCTGAGTTTCCAAATGATGCGGAGATCCTGGCA